GCGGTGTTCACTAGATGAACGGATGGACGGACGGACAGGCAGGCGCACGAACGGACACATGGATGAACGGACGCGCGGACGGAGGAACGGACGCACTGATGGACACTTCACCCCACTCATGATCATTCACTCTTTGAATATGTTGTGATTTTTTTTTTGTAGGCAAATGCTTTAGCCACCTCATGAAACGCGAAAAGGAACGTCGCTTCTGTATACTTTGCAAGCGAAACCAAATATACGACAGTGAAATGTATACCTTGTAAGCGAAACCAAGTATACGCAAAATGTATACGAAAAAGTGTACGTGGGAGGCGATCGTTGTTTTTAGCTTCGGAGTACTCAATATACGACTGAAGGGCAAAACTCTCGTTTGGCGAAGACATATCTGGCTCTGATTGCAAGTTGTACACGCTCTTCAAACGACTGGAAAGCTAACATACAAGTCTATCGTTTTCGCAGAGTGGCCCAGCAAAGATTTTCGAGCGTCACGAACCGAAGCAAGCAACCTGAATCTCGTCGGGGCCAATTGCTAAAGGCCGTCTATATACGGGGTTCCGGAAATGAGTTTTATTGCCAATTCTGCTGGGAGTATGAGCAGCATGCAGCCACTTTACGCACCGAGTAGCGACTTCAATCACCAAACGAAGCTCTCCTCTCGAGGATGGACCATTTCTCCCAGGAAGGGCGCTGGTGTCCAATCACACACGAGAGCCATCCACGGGACCGGACAGCACGCACGTCGCGTCGTATTTTCGGTGATCCTTCTACTCCAAGTGACGCGTTGAACTCAATCGAGCCGGACTATCACGTGGGTGTGTGTCTCTTCACAGCCCTTGCCGCCATACTGAGCCGAAAGACTCGCGCCCGCCTGAAGCTCGGAGATTGCGAAGAGCATTACAATAAAATCAAACTGCGAACAGAACACGTCATCAAGGGCAACTAAACTAAACGATGCCCTAACGTTATTTGGTAGGCACGAAACTCAGCCTACGAAATGGTAGTGGATGTCTTCCTACGTGTTCGCGCAGCATGAGAAACGGCACGGTATAGGCTTCATGTACCCGCCAACTTCTTGCAACATTCTACCATTCACAGAATACAAAGTCTCTATAATGTTAACTTTCTTGATCTCGATGTTTATAGTCCACAATCTTTGTTTTTATGTGAGCTTTTCACTATCTTAACATAGTTTTTCACGATATATAGATTCTTCATTTTCCCATCTTTCAGGAGGGCCTTCCACATAGCTGTGTATATTCCACATTAATTTTCACTCCCATTCCATTATTCTCGTCTCGTCTTTTTATTCTTCCAATATTGCGTTGATCTCCTTTTGTCTGTGCGTATTCACTCTTTTTATTTGATTTCTTTATATAAAGACTGTCTGTATTGGATTGTTTATTTTTATTATTTTATTTTTTGCGTGCGCCAACACAAAGATAATGTGGTTGTTCCTGGACACAATAAATTATTGATTGATTGACTGATTGATTGGTTGATTGATTGACTGATTGATTGATTGATAATAGTTTGAGTTTTACGCCAGAAGAACACAATATGATTATAAGGAACGCCGCTGTAGAGGGCTTCGGAAATTTCAACCACTGGGGTCCTTTAACGCGAACTTGTCCGCCTCGGTGGATCAGTGGCTGGGTGCTGGGCTGCTGAACCGAAGGTCACGGGTTCGAACCCAGCTGCCGCAGTCACATTTCGATGGAGGTGAAATGATAGAGGCCTTCGATGTGAGTGCACGCTAAAGAACACCGAATGGTTGAAATTTACGGAGCCCTTTACTGCGGCGTCTCTCATCTCGTGGTTTGGGACGGGAAATCCCAGTTATTATTATTATTATTATTATTATTATTATTATTATTATTATTATTATTATTATTATTATTATTATTATTATTATTATTATTATTATTATTATTATTATTATTCGCCTATTATTACTCTGGCTTCTACTATTTCGCCTCAGCCGAAATACACCGGCCACGGCCGGAGTTCGATTCCGCGACCTTTACAGGCTGAAAGAGCAACTGCGATGGCTTTTGAAAAGTGTGCTTTGCTCTTGGTGTTCAGAAGACGAATCCTCAGCCTGCTATACTGATGCAAAAAAAAGAATGCAACACGTCCGCCTGGCCCCCCATTTTTCCCGCTAAGTACCTGCCCTGAGTCCACTGCCTGAAAATTCATAAAGCTGCACCCTGCAAGAACTACAAAAGACACCAACACGAAGACACAACATAAACGCGTTCTCGCACTAGAAAAAAAGTATAAATATAAAATACTACGCGTATCGCACGCTCATAAAGCCGAAGTTCACTCGTCGTCTTCGTATCGTTTTCAGAAGCACCTCGCTGCGGCGCGCCTTTATACCGCTAACGAACCATAAAGGGGGTGAAGCACGTGTTTTTAGAAAAAGCAGGAACTCCCGCTGGAAACAGCACGCAGACTGCCTTCAGAACGGTCTCATAAAACTTCCCAAACGGAAATCCTGCTCTTTAAATGTCAATGCGTGGCAGTCAAATCCCTAAATGCTTTTTTGCTTTCGTTCTTCTTCGAGCTCGCGATGGTTTTAGAAGCTATACACGAAGCCTCGTCCCGACTAACTGCCATAAGAGGAAGCGAAGCGTTGCCTAATGGAGCGAGGCCGTCTTTTGAGCCCGGAGATCCCTTGATCTGTACACCCACTCGAGTCAATACCAACCTGCGCTCGTCGCTTAAGGGGGACTTAGCGCTCACATGCGCTAAAGCGTTAAGACCGTTGGTACCGTATGATGCTCTCATCTCCCGAGGCAGCATCGAGCCTGCGAGAAGGCGTCTGAGTGACGCTGGATGGCCATCTTTGTTCCTCCCCTGCGGCTGCATTTGCGATCGCCAGACGCCGCTAATCTCCCAGCTTTAGGCCTGTATGAGGAGCTTTTTTTTTAATGCGAAGCGTTTCTTAGCGAACTTCGGTGACTTTGAGCGTATCTATCTATCTATCTATCTATCTATCTATCTATCTATCTATCTATCTATCTATCTATCTATCTATCTATCTATCTATCTATCTATCTATCTATCTATCTATCTATCTATCTATCTATCTATCTATCTATCTATCTATCTATCTATCTATCTATCTATCTATCTATCTATCTATCTATCTATCTATCTATCTATCTATCTTTCTATCTATCTATCTATCTATCTATCTATCTATCTATCTATCTATCTATCTATCTATCTATCTATCTATCTATCTATCTATCTATCTATCTATCTATCTATCTATCTATCTAGCCGCCTACGACCTTTAGTTCTCCTGGCCGTTTCGGTTATGAATGTCATGATTTACATTTCATGAACTTGCTGCTCTAATATCAGATCTGGTGTTACGGGACCTGAATTCATGACAAAGGTGACTGGTGCAAACATGATAATCATGGGATCCGTGTCAAGTAACAACTTGACCACATGCCACGCTCGTGGCTGTTTCGCTAGCTCGACATATACCAAACTTAGTATTGCATGACGAATACACGACGAAGGTAAATGACACGTCCGAACATGATAATCATGATATGCGTGTCATGTAAAACATGGCTACATGCTACGCCCATAGCGTGCTCACGGCCATTTCACTAGTTACCCATATACCAAATTTGGTATCACATGACGTGAATGGACGACGAATGCAAATGACACGTCCAAACATGATAATCATGACATGCGTGTCATGTAAAACTGAACCACATGCTACGCTCATAGCACGCTCACGGCCATTTCGCTAGCTCCACTTATACCAAATTTGGTATCAGGTGACGTGAATAAAATACGAAGGTAAATAACACGTCCAAACGTGATAACACATGGAAGTCATTTGCGGCAAAATTTTCCTCCACCTCCTAACGTTGTTCTGATTTTAAAGTGACATATCAACCTTCTCCATTCTTGCTTCGCATATCATCGATTCCCACTGTACGTGGGATCTGCCAATTTTTTTGAATGGAGCCAAATATAGAGCCAGAACTACCTCATATAAAGCTGTATTGGCACATAAATACGTACTCTCAACTTTCCTCTAATACAGCAACAATAGGTTACTAATCATTATCAATAATTTATTAGTACTGCTTTAGAGGAAAGTTGTCGGTATGTATGGGTTATTAGAGCCTTCTTTAAGCTACTTTCGGTTCTACTCTTGGACCATTTGAAAAAAAAACGAGGCCGATCCCCCTATATAGGAATCGGTATAACACGAAAATGAAAAGCGTTTCACAGATGTGTTTGAGCGTTTATTGCGCGTTGTTTCAGCAACAGCAACAAATCGCAGAGTGACGTTAGGAACGGCAAGCAGCTCGAAAGTTGAAGCGCACACCGCAAGCAGGAAGCACGCAAGAAATCAGCATACGTAAGACGAGCGCGGACTAACTGTCCCAGCTCGACATTCACAGCGCACTGTTCAACAGAAAGCAAAACGTACGAAACGAGCACGAAAGTATGCACAAGACAAGCGCGAAACTCTGTCACAATACTTCCAGCATCCTGTGTAAGCAGCACACTTATTTTTTTTTAATTTATACCTTCTTTTATTTTTTCTTTCCTTCGCTCTTTCTTTTTCTTTCTTCCTTTCCATCCCCCTTTATTTCTTTCTCATAGCCCGCTGCACCCTCCTAAATGCTAAGTACAAGGAATTCAGATCTGCACTTTCACAAACACCCTCCGCACACACACACACACACACACACACACACACACACGCGCGCGCGCGCGCGCGCACACACACGCGCACACACACACGCGCACACCCACACGTGCACACACACACGCGCACACACACACGCACGCACGCACGTACGCACGCACACACACACGCACACACGCATGCACAAGTCCATGACTGAGAGAGCATCAAATATTGGAAAACAGTGCCTATAAATACGCATACGGCAACCGCACCTTCGAGGTCCCAATTTTTCGTACGCGCACATTTACAACTGCACGACGCTCACCTTCTTTCGAAACTCTGCCGGAATGCCGTCGGGTAGCCGGACGACGATTTTCGTGGCGTCCATCCACTGGGCAAAGCCGGATTCGCCACGCCCCGGTTCCAGGCTGAATCGCATACGGGTATCGACACCTGCGCAATGGAAACGAGAGTAAACACGTGAGAACGCTGTAAGTAACCTTCGGTTCAATACGTAGTGAAATAACTGACCACCGTGACATCGACGTCGTTATAACCAAAACGCATATCTACAAACGTAGAAGTACTATTAGCGACCAAAACGAGCCCTGACTCAGTTGTCTGGTGCTGGCAATCACACACCGGTGCCCGTGCGCCTTGGCATACTCGTTGGTTTAACTTCGTTTTTCGTCAACCCGCCAGAGTGGATCTCAAAGGTCACGTACAAAGCAGCGTTAGGTTGAGATCTGCTCGAACTGGTGCCGCTACGATTCCAACTGCTAAAAAAAAGTCTGCCCTTTCAGTAAGGTCGATCGATCTATTTTCACGTATTAAAATGACAGTTAAATGGCTCTTATGTTAGGTAAACTCTTGCTTTAACGTCATATGTATTCAATATGACTCTCAAATTTAACCAGAACCAAAGATCTCGCGCTTGATTTAGGTGCGTAACGCTCTAGGGACCAGGCTCGTCTTTTATACACCGTCTCATGTCGCATGGTCACGCAGTGGTCAATATGACCCGCTAAACAAGTGCTAACAATGCTCAAGACAAGTGCAAAATAAAACTAACAAGGTCTAAAATAACACAAACTTTAGAAATAACAACGAAATAACTGCAATAATTTACCAAAATTCGCGAAAAGCGCTTCTTGAAACATTCAGCTGACACCCGCACCGCGCGAGAGATGGCGCCACCGCATCTGCAAGCACGCGATTGCGTCGGCAATTGCTGGGTTGTTGGTGATAAGCAATGGCTAAGTTTTCAGATGCATTAAGCGAAGGATTTAGAAAATACACTGAGCCTTACGGAAGTGCGACATTAACGCAGGATTTAACGTGGGAGTTCGAACTGCTTTGGGAGCTACTCAATAAGCACAATAACGCTATAAGACGGCTAAATTGGCGCTAGATTACATCACAATCAGTACTAATTTAAGCGCTGGGGTTGTTTTTTTTAAGGAGAACTTTTCTGAATATTCGCGAGACCGGAAGTAAATATTCAGGACTACCGTCTGGAATAGAAAGAAGAATGTCTCCGGTTGTTCTCGCGCTTGCTTTGTCCTTAGAATACAATGACGAGAAGGATTCCGATGCATTGCAGGAGTTTATTAAAGGTTCAAAGAAATTTAGGCTGTAAATATATGATTACTTCTAAATTCTTAGTTTCGAAGTTGCTTCACATTTTTTTGTTCAAGTTATCCGCTTCATTTTGTATAACCATCGTTTCTATTCATCAATTTCTCATACTTAACTCTCTTTTTTTATCACTATAAATATATTAACAGGCGTAAACTAATAAAATTAAGGTATTTTGTTAGAATTACCCGTTTCTTAAGCAATCTCTCAGCGTAGGTGTGTTCCCCACATTCCAGACTCTACTAATACTACTAATAATAACCCTAATGGTCCAACAAGAGCTCACGACAGGAAACTGCGAAATTGGAAGTGCTTATTGACGTTGCTGCGTTACTTACACTGAGAAAAGTACAAACAACGATGTGTCCTCCGGTATAAAACAATGAGATTTGCTATCTCTCTTGATAGCACACATGTAGCCAGCGTTCTGACTCGCGCGATATGAGGCGAATCGAAATAGACACGGATGCATTACTAAAGCAAACGAGTCGCTTGTTTGATGTGCACGGGTACGCCCCAATTTTACGCGCCACAAACTAACGCTTTCTTCCTGACGCAGTTCGTCAGCTTCTATTTGAACATTGCGCTTGGTAAACAATGTTCAGCTGTCAGCCCTACTCAGGCAATTCTTGGAGCTTCACGTCTGAAGGAAACACTCTGGGACAATCATAACTCGGACAGGAGGGTTTTAGATCAATTGAATCAAACTGGTGTATTTTTAACGTGCATGTATATTGAAGCAGATCACAAAACATTCTGAAGAAAGAAAAAGAGAAAACTTTATTTGTGCATAACACGGAGCATTCCAAATGCTCGGGCTTCTATTCCAGGGCTCCGCTGGCCCTAGCCATCATCTCTTCCTGTTGGACCAGCCAGCGCTGATCAGCGATGGCCGAGCTGGACAGCAGTGCCTCCCATTGTTCCTCCGTGTTGTTCATGTTGTGGTGTTCTTCATTGTGACGCGTACACTACCACGTGATGTGAAACAGAGTTGGTGTGGCCCCACACCACGGACATATATCTTTGTATGCTGTGGGGTAGAATACATGGAGCCTGTGTAAGTTTGTGTATGTGTTTGGATTCTGCGCAATTGCTCCGATTCTAGTGCTGTGAGTTTCTTATGCGGTGCTGGATAGAGTTTTCTATTGTCCCTGTAATACTGAAGAATTGTACCAAAGTCAGGGTCTAGGGGCGTTGGATCCTCTATTGCAGTGTGCAAGGAAGCTCGGTGATTTGCGAAAAAGTTAAAAAAAAAACAGAATGTCTTGCTCTTCTCAAGGATGCTGATTTGCCCCGTATACATGGCTCTCTTTAAAGAAATACGTTAAATGTCTTTTGATTTTCATGACTCTGCAACGAGGGTATAATTATCTACAAGAAGAGCCATGACCAGCAAGGACTTACAAGTAAAAAAGGTTAAACTACTTTTCTTTCTTAGAGTGTTTGGAACCACGCGTTTCGAACCAACAGAATGACTCTTCATGCTACGCATCACTCTGCTACACATTGTAGGGGGTATCGAGGCTATTCGGCGCAGAAACCCACAAAGAAGACGCGGAGCCAGACCAGAAACCAGGTCCGCTAAGCCTCGGCCTCAACTGCCCGCTGCCAGCGGCTGCCGCGTGCCCCTGAGACAGCGGGCCCAGAGTAGTCAAAGTAGACCTCCTGGCGCTGACATTGTTGCACGGTGCCGTGGTCGTAGTAAACGTCTCGCTGCATCATCCTCTGCCGTTGTAGCCGCACGGACCTCTCACGTTTGGGTGGCGACCACTCCTCCACGTAGCAGTCGTTGAACGCTGGCGACGCCGGCAT